AAAAAAAAAAAAAAACTAGATAATTTGTTGATAAACACAAAACAATCATCCAATAACTGGCCATTTGGTCGTGTACTAGTACTACCTTGTATCCAACAGAATCGCCCAAATTTTCACCTCGTTCAAAAGCAATTCTTTCTGCCACTGCACTTGAAACATGAAGTAGGTGTAAACTCATTATTGAAACTCAATAAAAACAATGAATATACAAATACACATATTCAAGATAGAGACAGATTACGCCACCTGATGTGGCAGAGATTCGTCTCGGCTGAGTACAAACTATTTTACATGGCTCTCCTTTGCTCCATGCATGATCAAGAAGAAATTGCGGGACCTAAATTATTTCATCGATATAAGATTCCATGTGTCATAATCCAAGAAAAATGCTTGGAACCAAAAGATAGAAAGGGATTGTGCAGGACTTCCACCTGGGTCGTTTTCCCGCATCCAGTTTCACCACATATGAGCATCACCTGTTTGGCAGAAGATATTATAATCAATACCTAAAATCTGAACTCATTAGAGGTCGTATCGAGCTGGTAACTGAGATGAAGGAAGAGATTCATCCTCCAAATCCCAGAGTCATTACTTAACCATTTGGGCATTTTCTACAAGTATTTAAAAAGTCACAATCATCCATATTATGCAATTCAGTACGCAAGAGAAAAGTAATAGCTATATATGCAAATATTTCTATAGTAGCTAAATGAGGTCACCTGATGAGATTCCATAGTATATGTGATAGAATCCCTAAATGATGCAATGGGAAGTTTGGACCTCTCCTCTGTGATCTGCAATACATGAACACAACTACTTGCAATTTATCACACAAATACCACACACACATACACACACATATGTATATATGATTAGTACCAGCAGATTCTCACCTGTCTCAATTCCGCGGACTTCTCTATTCTGGAAGCAAGGGATTCCACCTTGCTTGCAATTTCAGATTGAGTCATTGCAGGCTTACAGAACATATCATCTTTGAATGCTTGTACTTTGCCATTTTTTCCACTACTTTCTCCAAATTTATTTTCTGCCATCTCCAAATCATTGGGAGGGTACTGAGAAAACAAATCCTGTAAAGCAGCTCTTGATTCTTCCGAAAAACTGAAGGAAGCAAGACGTTCCTTCTCCTTCGATAGTACTCCCTTTTTGTTCTTATAAATAAAAAGTCGACGCTGTTGCCCTTTCCTACAAGAATACGGATTGTTAGCATAAAAAATATAATAACTGAACTAATGAACTAATAGCTTAATTTTCGAGCCGTATATTACCCATAACTTTTTGACTGCATGCCCATTTTCCTGCATAAGGTATGCACTGCTTCTCGCTCCCGATTATTTAGGTTCTCTTCAAATTTGTAGACTGCAAAAATTGAGAGTTGAGAATAATTACTGCAAAATTTGAGAGTTGAGGATTATATGTAAAGACATGATTCAGAACAGCGCATATCAACATATAGAATACTATAGCTCCCTAACAATCCACTTCAGCAGGCCTATAACAATTTTGTTTGTTTACATTTTCAGTTGAAACCGATCATTTCTAACTATTTTCAAGCATTATCCACACGAGAAAACAGCATAAAATCAATAATCACAAAAACCTCTTATGAAAATTCAATTGTCAACAATATTCATGGCTTTTTAGAAATTGCAGCAATCACCCAAAGTGCTGAACTACATAAGAGATGTAACTGAAAAGACTAGCAAAATGCGCATACCCCGAAAAAAGGCAAATGGGTGAACACAAGCACGAGAAATACACACAAAAAACAAGAAATTTATTTTCCTCTACTTCTTCAACCATCAAATGTTCAACGAATAATGAAGACTGAACAAGCATGCTTTGATCTTTTTGAAATGATAACAGAATCAAAATCACTCACCGTCATCTTTCGAATGCCTAAACTGTTCGAGAATATGAACAAATCGAATGCGATTCACTTCGGAGACATTTGCAGCCTCCTGCATGAATTTCGGTTTCTTCTGCTTCTTCTTGGCGGCCTCATTAGCCATTTTCCCCTTCATAATTTCAGCTGCGAATTGAATTCAAGATTCAACTGATCTTCCTCTGGTTCAAACAATGGACTCCTCAGTACAATTTCAGATGAAACGAGTTCGAACGAGATGAGAAAGGGGAGCTTTTACTACAGATAGACGCTCGCCCTCAAGGTCTCTGCTCCCTACCAATGGCGGTTAGGGTTATGTGCGATTTTACCCCAATTTGATTTTCGTTCTCTCCCTCGCAAAATTAAAAAATATTTCATTTTTTATCGTTATTTTATTTTTATTTTTTTTAACATAACTAGTACAACACCGTGTATTACACGGGTGCTTGTTAAAAAATTATTCTTAAATTTTAAAATTAATGAGAAAACTATATTAAATTTAATTACTTTTTTACAAAAAAAAATATATTACTATATATTTTAAAATGATATGTGTTACTTATAACTTACATGTCTTATATTATATTAGTTTTTATAACTTATATCATATAACTACTTGAATATATTAGTTGA